AGATGCTAAGTTAGCTGGTTGGGGATGAGTAAGCATGTACGAGCGGTTGCTTTTAATTGATTATTTGGGTGTTGCACGTGCGCTGTAAGGATACAAGCACTGGAATCAAATTATAAGTGGGTCAAAATAAATAAACCTGTATAGTTCCAACGTTCTGAATTCGTGGGTTTTGCGAATCTTCAATGAGGGGAAGGAAAATATACACGCTCTGAGTAGTAATTGATGGCTGATAGAACGATGCGGAGCGAACATCCCAATCAAATCGTGCGAGGTGGTTTCCTATTTAGCTGTTCCTAAATTAAACCTCATTAATACTCAAAGAGTAAATGCTGATGATCTAGTACCGTAGGTAAGGAGGGCAATCACCGGGCCGAACATGCGCGGTACAAGACGGAGAGCAGAATTTGTAGTGATGAAAGCAATCTCACATCTGACGTAACATTCAGTAAGAGAGCACGACATAGATCAAAATTCTTCAGAAGTTGGACAGAAAACATTATTCTGATATCTGCAATATCCATATGTTCATTTTTCTCTCACTAGAACTAAATACAACGAAGCTTCAACTGACCCCCTCCCCATCCCATCCACAAGCCTGGGGAGTCAAAGGTAAAATACCAATCGCAGAGATTGCTTAGGTCGCCTTGGTGGTATCCCAGATGACAGCTCCCGATGCATCAAAGATCTGAAGGTAAGGAGCCTTGTTCAAGGCAGTCAGCTTAGCACCCCGGCCTGCAGTGCCGCTGGAGAACAGCGGGGTGTTGTTGAAGTATGTCACGAGGTTTCCGTCGCCTTGGAAGGACAGATGGCACAGGCTGGGGCTGCCGCAGCTGGCGACCGTGTGTCCACTGGCCCAGACGGGAGTCTCTCCGTTGGGATTGGTGGTGTCGAGGGCGACAATGTTGCTGTCGCCCTGGTACTGGATGATGAGACCGTGGAGGTCGGCAAATGGCCCAGTGTCAGAAGCGATGTTTAGAGAGTTGGGAGTGAAGGAGACGGAGCTTGGAAGGGGCTCGGAGGTGCAGAGGAAGTTGGTGATGTTGCCGGTCGCGGCGACGAAGCCGGATTGAAGGTTTTTGGTACCAACGACGCCAGCTGGGTAGTAGACGAGGGCATCGTTGTTGTTGAAGAGGGTCTGGATGGCGGGGACGCACTGGGAGCCATCGGCGAAGTTGGATCGTGGAGTGGTTACGCCGGAGACATCGTTGCCAGTGACCTATTACGCCTTTGGTAAGTAATTTGTCATAGGTAAAGCTTGAGGTTTGCAAGTTTCAACTTACGGTGATACCACCTTGCCAGCCGTTGATGGCAATGGGGAATGCGACACTGCCCTTGATGGTGTTGCCGGTGATGGTAGCAGGTCCGGTGAGCAGGTAGGGGTCATTGAAGGACCAGACATTGGCACCGATTCCAATACCCAAGTTGAACAGCTTTGTTCCTGTAATGACATTGTTGGTCACCTTAACATTGGCGTAGCTACCCTGGTATTCTCCATCAACCATGTTAATCGCACCGAAGCCCTTCTCAGTCGCAGAGGAAGTGATGGTGTTGCTGTCGATAGTACTTCCAGGGGAACCAAAGATGACAATTCCACCATCCGTGCTGCCAGTGATCTGGAGAATTCTGTTAGTAACCGTCTGACCTTCCTACCACACGTATATCCAGAGAGTGTAATTACCGTGTTGTGCTGGACTAATGAAGCTGTGCAGTCAAGGGAGACTCCATCAGCCCATTTTCCATTGCCCTGAGCATCAGTTCCCTCCTGTCCGCAAGGGCCAATATCATTGTTGGTGATGGTGGCATTGCGGCATGGGTTGCCATCATTGCCAGAGCCGATGACGTGCAGACAGCTCCAACCTCTGGGGTTCCTCGAAGCCACATGGTCGACGACCTGTCCGGACGACAATCCTCCAATTTCAATGTTGGCACCTCCACCAACCTGCAATCCAGTGTTCGGTCTGTCTCCATCCAACTGAATGTTCCTGATCTTGATCCCATTGTTCCTGCCGGCAATCAGAGTAGCGGCGGTGTTGCCCGGCGCAATCTTGATGGTGGCTCGGGTGCTGTCGGTGGGATAGCCCTGTGTCGAGATCTCTTGGTTATCGGCAGAGAAGTTGATAGTGTCGGTGATCAGGATGGTGGCTCCAGGGCAAAGCTGGACGACGGCACCAGCGCCTCCGGATGAGAGGGCACTGTTGATGGTGTTCTGGTTGCCAGAGCTGATGCAGGCAGCGCTGGCAGCCGTCAGGAGGCCGCTCAGGGCAAGATATCGCTTCATCGAGAGGGAAGACATGTCGGAGAGAGGGTGAAAGTCCTAAAGAGAATCGATCCCGACGATCAGGAAACATGGGAAAGGCTCCATGCTTGCTCGGTATATATACACCTGCCGCAAGAACGACATGCCCAGGGCCAGGTCTGAACGGGACTGCCGGGGAGGTTATCGAACTGGCATGGTCGTTGCTGATCTGTCAACAGTTTCGCATAGAGTTCTCTCCATCGCCTGGAGTTGCTGGTGCGGGAGGACGGCGGACTGGCAGTGCTGACGGGCGAAGCTGGCGAGAAGCGTCCAAAGTCTGACCAAGTCACCATCGAGTCGTCGTATCCAGTTAGCAACGTGCTTCAGGGGTGAGAGCTGTGAAACCCAGGACCCCAGCATCGAGGGCCGGACCGAATTTGTCGGCTCATTACTCGGTCCTGAGCAATGATTAAAAACGTGTTTTTGGTAGAGTGCTGAGGAGAAACGATTTATTAGGCGGTAAGATTAGATGAACTGTAACCACCGCTAAATTGCGGCGAGATATCCAGCGCGGGGCTCTCTGCCAGACACGCGGTGCCAGCGTATGATCCAGCTGCACAGCAAGCCGTTACTTTCCCAACTTTAATGAACTTAGAGCTGCTCTGGGCTTTCTTCAGGTCCTCTCTGATGGCCCATCTACCGCCTCCCAAGACGCCCGTGGACGCCCTCTCCGCCAAGTGCCGTGGGCTTTCAAGATTCCCCCGCACTTCTAACACGCTGGGCCGATGCAACACCCTACAACTACGTTACAGCCCTCGTTCCAGGCCATTCAGTGTAAACATCACGGTACTGTAATCAATGGCAACCCCTGGCGAAGTCGCCCGAGTCGCTTTGGTTCGGTCGTAACCGCTCCGAAGCGAGTACCAAAAAGTATTACAGGACCAGTCGTATGAAGCCAGTACGGCAGTAGTGAGCCATATCATCCAGGATGCTGTTTGGTGCTGACGGATTCTGTGAGATGGGACGAACGTTTACAGTAATAGGCCGGTCTGCGCTTTCACTGTAATTAGCTAAACAATAGGTTACCTAAGTACAGTATTTCCTTCCTCTTTCGCGCCATTCTCTTACTTCCCCTTGACGTTGTTCTCGTGTTCTTAACAAGTCTGCTCTTTGATGCTCCAATCGACTTTTGCGCATGCCAGCGCTGAGGGATTCTATTTCAGGTGGTAATGTACGATATCGCAGTTTGTGACTGAAGATAGCTTGACCGAATGGATCAATCGGGTCAGCAACACTGCCATTATGGGCCTCTCGCGTGGTTTTAGAGGGCTGTGGTCAAGCAGTTTGTAGGCCCGAGGGCTCTTAGACTCGGTTGTCAATAATAACTATAAGCACTAGCGGTGAGAGCTTTACTGGTACTGTTCAGCGCTGTGGTACGATCCAGCAGTTTTGGCATCGAGTGATACTATACTAAGTAGTAACATCGCAAGTACTTAACCAGTAGTTATGTATCTACAGAGAAATACTGTGTAGTACCTGACGAGAGGCGAACAAAATTCCTCAACTGGACTATTTTCAGTTAGTCCTCCCGATGCGTATACCAGTTCCAAAAGACCGTTATTAATCAATAAATAAATGGCAACACGTTTTAAAAATCATATTGTACAGTAATTACGAAGCACATCATATATACGAACCCCTCCCTGGCCAAGTCTTCACCAATAGGATAACAAGGTTCGGTATTTACAGCCCTGCGACTGATGGAATACTACTCTGAGTTACGAGAGAATATGGTAAGCTTTTAGTAGATACAGTAATAAGCAGGGACTGCCTTACAGTGATGAATCGGCCGCTACGCGTCACAATCCAGAACGTCTCATCCACGAGCGAAGATGATCTCATTCTACGAATTAACTCATTGCTCGGCCTCTCGGCACTAATAATATAAAAGCTGTCCAGGTATACCGTAGAATATATTATAAAGTACTACTTTAATTCTTTTAACAGCCCAAAATGCGGGGCAAGGTGTCAACTGGTACCTTGCAAAGTGCGGAGAAGTGCATAGGCAAAATGCGCTGTAAGTTTCCCGGGAAATCGCCCGAGAATGCGCCCTGAAAGGCTTGCATATTGCATCGTTCGATTAAGGTATTCCCTGATGACGATCTTTCAGTCCATTATGGAGAGGCAGGATTGAGCTGTTTAATTCAGTACCGGGTGGGCACACCTTGGGGTGATTCCAGTTCTGCGAGCGTTCTTAATAAAGTAAGCACTTCTAATTGTTACAGTGTTGGTTGATTCTTTGATTGATGATCTCACTGTTGTTGCCAACTGAGCTCTCCTTCAAAAGCCTCATTGCTGTATCACATCCTATACTGGGATACAGATATGTGCACATGTTTACACCCCCATTCAATGTGCGAAAACTGTAATTATATTTTGAAAACTTCCCATAGACCATAAATAATCCTTGGATAATTTCTTCAATTCATGCTTCGCCAATTTTTACTTGAGGTCGGTTAGATACAGTACCTAGCAAGATATTGAAGGAGGACCTATGTTAGATAATACCTAAAAACTGAAATCATAAACTGCAAATTTATCTGGGAGTGAGATTAGTTGTGTGAAATCGAATTTGGGATCACTGCATGCATTCTTTTCTTGCTCGTATTGGTACTCGTACTCGCTTATCTCTAATCAAAGGTTTTTCCTGGAGTGTGCTTCTCGTTTATTCTTAAGTTAAGATAACGACACAGCCGACGTAACAGGCAACTTGTCCGAGTGGTCTAAGGAGCTAGATTTAGGTCAATTCTTGAATTGTTCAAAACTCTAGTCTGCAAAGGCGTGGGTTCGAATCCCACAGTTGTCATCTACAAATTTTTTTTGCATATTTTTGCACTCTAATTAGATTTCTCTATGAGGATTTGTTTTGGTGGATTGCATAGATCCTGAGCGACGTTTGAATATTATTACTCGCCAAGGAAATAACATCGTCGACTGTTACAGTGGATACTTTTTGGCATGAATTCTCGCTATGGACGCTGCTTCTTTGCTTCTTCATCCAAAGTAATATCAGATCATATTGTTGTATGCAGAAGTTGATTGTAAAATTCCATTATATTGCATATATAGATCATGTATACCGTTTACAAATTTCCATTCTGTTCCAAATATTCGATAAGAGACTTGAACTCGTCATCTATCTCCCAAATGTGTTAGGACGAAGTTTGAAGTGTATCATGCCATCTAATCTATTATAAAGCCGAAGTCTACCTACATGTCATCTCTCTGCTTGTAGTGATGCCGCATTCATTGCATGCGCTCTCGATAGTTGATGGCGAGACACTCTGACCGCTTAGCTTCTGGAGAGCAGTGACGGTTTCGGATATGCTGAGTCCATCGTCGTCGTCGTTATCGCCTGCGTGGAAGGCGTCTTTGATAGCAGATTCTGGCGGCGCCTATAGGAGAAAATTGTGTTAGAGAATGTTCATTGCAGGGGGGTCGGGGCTGGCTCAAATGATGCGTAGATAGAGGAAGGGGACAGTATTGTGGAGACTCGATGGCATCCATACCATGATTTTGAATCGTATAAGCTATTAGGGTATTACTGATGAATAGTGCTCTTCTGGTAGTATTTAAGCAGGGATTAGAAGCAAATAGGTTGATGTTATTGAGGCAAAGATTGTTGGAAATATCAGTGTTTTACCCCGCCATGATGTGCTGGCAGGACATAGCGCCACGAGATCTTGAGAGACTGAGTTGAAGTTGTACTTTTCTCCTTCTAGCTAACAAGTAGTCCTTATCTGATCTCTAAGAGCAAATTCCATTAATAGCACAAAATCCATACAAAGGCCTTTGTGAGACTGGTATTAACATACAATATCTCATGGACTACATCAAGTGAATAGGCGATACGCACAGAACAGTGAAAGTGGTGTTTGAACACGCATGGGAAAACGGAATTCTTATTGGTTTCCTTAATTCTGGGGATGATGCGTTAGATTCGATGGCAGATTTTGAAAGTAACGTGATTTTCCATCTCAGATGATTTTAGATCTAAACTATATTTACATTTATTTTCATATATTTGTCCACTTTATATTGTATACTGTGATTGCAAAGAATTGTTTCTGCTTCAATGTGGGTTGCATTGGAATCACGTGAGCCATAATTAGATATTTGTCTTATTTTATTAATAATTAGATGTAGAAACATGTGTGTTCGTTTGATCATAGGTATTTGAACGGACATTATTGAATATTCTCTCTGCTTCGTGATGTAGTGAGCATTTGGTTATTGTAACTATGTACGTAAGTATTCTATACCAAACTCTCATTAGCACATAAATTGTAGAAATTGTATTGGAGAATAGCACATCACATGAGGAATTATTCTAGCTTTGCAGTATTGAGCTACGGAATACGTGGACCCTCTCTTGCATAGGATGTTACGGAACCCCTCCTCTACTGCGTTTAGCCTAAATTTTACCAATGGCCCCATCCTAGGTATATTTTGACTGAAATAACATGGCGCTCTACATATTAATTTGTTTGTGTAGCTGATTGCCAATCTCTAAGCACGCCATTAATCTATCTTTCCCCTGACTAAATTGAGAATTGGTTGGTTTGGAAACCAATAAGAGAGAATGCCGGGTACCACGGACAATACCTCTGTTCTGAGTGATGCTCAGAAGGAGCATTTCATGAAGTATGGATTTGTCAAAGTCGAAGGGTGCTTCACTCGTGCGCAGGCTGAGGAGTTCACCTCCAAGTTATGGGTGCGTCTTGGGATGTCTCCGACGGACAAGTCGACTTGGCACACCGAACGAACCAATATGCCTACCCATGGTAAGGTCCTGGCCCCAGAATTTGCGCCAAAGGCTTTCGCTGCGATGTGTGAACTTCTTGGAGGAGAAGAACGAATCTCAGATACTATGAGAACTTGGAGTGATGGATTCATTGTGAATCTCGGTAAAGACGAGTATAGTTCCGATCAAGAGTTGATTTATAGGGAGTTAGATGGGTGGCACAATGATGGAGATTTCTTCGTACATTTTTTGGACAGCCCTGAACAGGCATTGCTGGTTATTCCACTCTGGAGTGACATAGATTCGAAGGGCGGTGGTACTGTTATCTGTGCGGATGGTATTAAGCATATTGCACAACATCTAGTAAGTCTTCGGGTCAAGTTTCGATACATAGATCCGGATGACTAACACTTCTACCAAGTACAACCATCCGGAGGGCGTGACACCATGGATGAGATCGGTGAGTGATCCGAGCCACACCGAATATGAGGGCAGAGAGTATTGGCTTGATCTTGCGCAAGATCCATCAAAAACAAGGGATGAGAGTTTCTTTGAAGCCACCGGGAAAGTCGGAGACGTGTTTTTATTGCATCCCTTCATGCTTCATACCGCATCCAAGAACCTGCTGCGGAATATTCGAGTAATAACCAACCCACCAGTGTCTCTGAAGGAGCCGTTCTGTTATTACAGAGAGGATGGCAACTATAGCCTAGTAGAGCAAAAGACTTTGAACGATCTAGGGAAGCCGGAGGGATTACCGGGCTGGCATATCACCAAGCCGAGGAAAGGGTGGATTCCAAGAAGAGTTAAGAGGATGGAGGAAATGAAAAGACAAGAGTTGGAACGGTTAAACAATATGAAGCAGGACCAAATTGTACAACCGCAGGTGCAAGCTGCTTAGACTTTTACTCTCTTGACTCATGTGGTATCAAGGCATAATTTGAATAATACATACACTATTAGATTTAATTGTAGTATCTACTTTGCCGAATGCCACAAATATGACTTTGTTCTTGATGTCTGCAAAATTTTGGAATAGAAAGGTACTTGAAATTGGGCTCTCTCTGCGTGAAATTGTTCGTAAGGCATGAAAAGCTACGGAAGAGAAAAATATGACCAGTGGGCATTCAAGCGGAGCAACAACATTGTAGCTGTTTCTTTGCCTTTGCCTTCAGGGGAACTATTAGATTATATTTGATAGGTAGTGGAATAGAACTGACGATATGATGCAAGCAAGCCTCACGCGCTGTAGAGTAATGGTAAGGCCTGCTCGGTTGGGGAAGTGTACCTCCTTCCTACTCAATGAATATTCTATCACACTTAATTTGTCTATTGTGTGGATATTTCTATAGTAGTAAGTCTGTACTAACTATAGAAAGGAAGTAATATGTATTTATGGAATATAGAGCGTTCACTGATAAATTCAATGAGCAATTTTCCGTTTCGGTTATGGTTTAACGTTGCTAGAAGATAATGTTGACTGGAATGACATATTCCAGCAAAGTATCAAGCTTTTCACTTTGAGAACACGGATTGAGAAGAATATGCTGGGGGTATCTTAGGTTATGATACAATACAGACGATCATAGTACGGAGCGGCTTCACTCATTTAGCAGGAGGAGAAGAATTGTGCCCAGATCTAGGATTTGTACATGGTTCTACAAGAAGCACCCAGATATTAGTGTAGTGGTCTAGATATGTTAATCATCTTGTCTCTTAGAACTTGACTTCATAAAACAGCTCGTGGTTCTGGACCGCTAAATTCCTGCCTTGCTCCACTTAGGGCGTCAGGATTCGTTACTGTAATTGATGCAGTCATAGATCCACATGCAGAAAAAGCTTCTAAGCGGAATCAAACAACCAGTATCTAGATGATCAAAACGTTATGGTATACTGACAATCAAGATATGTCTAGTTAAGGCATCCTCACGGAATCCTGTGGTTGAGGCATGAACAAGCCGCGTATCCAATCAGTTTTCTTCCAGCTATCGCTATTGCTGCAGAGCGGTCTGGTTGGATTCTGCTTGTTCTTGGCTGCAGGAAGATCAGTTCATTTTTCTAGAGATGTTCTCCTATCAAGGTTAACACTCTATGTAACTGGATAAGGGGACACTTAGTGTCTAAAACCCCGCAATCGAGACAACCAAACCAGGACGAATAGTTAATAGAGTATTCACGATCATCATCATGATTAATAAGCAGAATACTGTCCATTTGTTCGGCCCGGACCGCCTTGTAACGACTGGTGGCGTAATGTGCAACTTGAGGCATTTGGGACGTTATAGAAGCGCACTTTCTGACATCACCCATGCAGTTAGGAGGGTGTGGATTTGTTGCAGTGTGCACCTGTGGACTGCCACGTAGCTTATGCATCTCCGATTAACCTACTAGAGTTAATCGAATGCGACATAAATCAAGATTTCTCCATTTGTTGAGCAAACCAAACGCAAGTGAATGGACTCCATTTCTGCTCACGTGCGCCAATCCTTCCAATCCACGTCTTTGTGGATGGAGTTCGTTGACGCAGAGCGGTGCGAGAGATGGTGGGAGGCTATACGGTAGAAATGGCCCGACCACCTCGGCCTCACCCTCGCATTCGTGAGGCTGGTTGAGATGGCTGTTTTTGTGAAGATTTTCTACTAACTCGCATTATCAACTCGCCACTCAGAAGCCGAACTCCTGTAAGCAAGCAATCTGGTTTGTGATACTTGCTATTTTCATTCCTTTAATATCCCATTCTTCCATTACATCCTCGCATGCTACTATTATTATAATAATATAGAACGTGCCCACTCCATGTTAGCAGATTATCCTGATTCATACCTTCCTTTCTACCGTTAACGGATTCTAATATGGCTGAAGCTTTCATCACAGCAGTCCGTGGCTTCAGTTCAGATAATAGTTATAAATTAATCGAGAGTCTAGTTGAAGAATCCTTAGTGCTGAAAATGCGACTTGGAGCCAAGACTAAGGAAGCTGATGACCTCAAAAACGAAATGACCTCTCTTAAACGGTATGAGGACCGGTTACAAGAAAACCTCGAGCTATATCGCAAGCAGCGC